CAACGTAACCAACCGTACATTATTTTTGGTTTTTCTTGCAACCAGAGAAAATTGCATAACGCTGTTGGTGTGTAACATTACAAAATAACACTGCAACAGCATAATACAAACTACATAGATAACACTAATAGTATACATTATACATATATGTATAGATTATTGCGAACAAAAAGTTATCACTTATCAAATATTATTACCAGGATTATTTTTCTTAATACTGCAACTATCATTTAAAAAATTATCGTTGTTCAATAAAATATTATACCAAACGCTGTGCGTAGTTAGTTAAATATTTACTTAACTTAAATTATTATTTTAATGTTACGTCAAAAATTTTGTTTATAATTGTCTTTTTCGATTACGCACAATTCTCTAATTAATTATTGGATAATATATGAATTATAATCAATATTTACATAAACAATAAATAATTCATTAGAGCAACTAAAATGAGAAAAAATAACGTTTATTAATCTATTTCCATTTTTCACAAACACAAAAGCAAAATTGTCTTATTTCTATAATATTACATTAATATTGTATAATATACATAAGTATTAATTATGAGAGAATTATATTCATAGTGTCAAATTGTTGAAGATGTTACAATAGTTATTACAATCTTGTAAAAAAAATTTGTTGGTGAATATAAAATAAATGAATAAATTATAATAGTAATATAAATATATACGGTCATTCGGTTCGCATGACGGTATTCATTAATTTGTTAAAGTGTTATAAAATTTGAGTACACAAAATAAAATAAAGATTACAAAATTCCCCTCCTTCCCCCTTATATAAACATATTAAATATTTAAATCTATCGTATGTGGTTTCAAAAACCGTTTGATATTTTTGAATTTTGATACTTGAATAATAATTATGATTTTTACAACTCTTTTTTCGTACCTAAAACTTTTTTTAGGCGTGACACATATATGTATGTAGAATGTGTAATAATATAACATGAACGTATTGTTATTCTTTACGGGGCCGGGGCACACACAATAGATAACCAATAATGAAAATCTGAAAAACGTTTCATTATAAATCCTCGTTTTGATAAAAGCAAACAATGCTGATTATAAATGTTTTTTCGGCTGAATATAATTTTGTGTGGTATGTTAACGTCACATTGTATTTGCGTTCGATATAAAACGTAGATATTAAATGGTAGGAAAGAGTTCTAATTCGCTTAGATGTGTTAAAAGAAACGCCATACGTTGAATTCTATTATAATAAAATAGATTATTACTATGGATGGTATACCTACTTAGTACCTATATGGCATATGCATCATATTTCATATTTTGTACGGATTTATTTAACATGAGCGTACTTGTGTCGTCGTCTTGGATATTAGATATACTATATACATAATTATTTTGCTCCGTATCGTAATTCGCGTTGACTTGGCACAATCTATAATTACGTTATTTGATTTTGCGTTTTTAACACTAAATTATTATTATTATTGTTGTCTGGCGGGATCTCAATACTCACTTTTAAATAGTTGTTATATGATTTTGAAAAGTTATCGATATTTACGATTCGATTCAAATTGACTGACTTCGCCTTTTATAATATCGTTTATTATATTGGCTTTTTTAATACGAACATAATATTATTATAATCGTTCTTAGCTATACAAAAACTAGGCGACTCCGCGTTCAATATAATGTTATGATAGTCGATACAAAAAAACGAAAAAGAGCTTTTCAAATGCTATCACCCATCAGATACATAACGGGCTTATCGTTATTACCATAATGGTCTCTCTTATTTTTTCCTTCACTAAGTTATTAAATGCCCGTGATCTATATATTATTATAATATATCCCAGTCGCCATCGTAGTAATGCATAACGATTTCGCATCAGAATTAATGCGCATTAATATTATATAATCAATATTCTCGACGTTTATTGTTAAAGTACATCTATATATTATTATGTGCACATCATGTATAAATTAAATCATAGATTTTGTGGACAATTACAGATAACGCGTTGTTATTATATTACTGTTGCGTCGTCTCTCAAGAAATAATGGACTAAAAAATTATTCACTAAAAAAAATAAATTTCCTTTACCTTGATCCTTGAATCACGTCATCCAACGCGTGGGTAGTGCATGTATTTATTATAAGCAACAAAGCACGCAATAATTGAATTTGTATTAACTTTTTATTTTTCGTTAAAAAAAAATATAGTAAATTTAACGTATGCATTGGATTAGTTTAGTATGATTGTTGAACTGTACCGTACGGATTATTTGTTCTGTAATCATAAAAATTATATCATTGTTTATTGAATGAATGAGTTCATTTTAAAATAATTAATTTGTTATAATTCGATTGATTTTTTGATGTGGTTTTTTTTTGTACAAACTTGTTAACATTTTTTTCGATTTAAGAATATTTGAATAATCAATTTTTATTTGGTGTATTTATTGGAAGTCACGTAATGTTAAAATTGTGTTTGTTAAAATTTATCTATATTTTTACGATTATTACAACAAATTATGTAATGAATACATAATACATACATATTATTGAACTAAAAAATTATAGGAATTGTATAGGAAATGATGTATTCATAATAAGTATTATATAATATACACATTAAACGTGTACATACGACTAATATTGTTTATTAAAGTATAATATTATTGAGAGAAATAACTTTTTATTAGTTTTGTATACCTACATGAGTATTATGATTCGTTTTCTTTAGATATTGTTGGTTATTTTTATATGTATTCACTATTCACTATACTATTTTACATTTATATTTAATAGTTTTATCGTTTCTTTTCAATATTGATTTTTATAATGATTATCAACGTGTTTAAGTATTAAATTTTAGAAATTTTTTTAAGTTTAAGTTTAACAGTATTATTTTTAGTGTAATTTGTTTAATTATGAAACGAACATTGCATGCAATAGATATTCGCAAGAAATAATTAGGTACATCATTATATTCATTAATCATAAAATTATTATTGTGCCATGGGTATTGCATTTGTAATGTAAAAAATTAAAAGTTTTAAGCTATATTATTACAAAAGTAGACTTGCATTAATTAACTAAATGAAATTTAAAATTAAATACTAGTCAGTTGTTTATTTATTTTTTAGTTCGTAGTAATTTATTTTATGATAACTTAATTCATAAAACAAATATTGCTTAATAAATATATTTAATCGAAAATGTAGTATATTTTACAATAATGTTTATTGCTAAACATTTTTAATATATTATATATTAACTGTGAATCCTGTATTGGTTGTATTATACTAAATTTAATTATTTATTGATATTTTAAAAATTTCAGTTTAATATTACCTACAGTTTTATAATTAATAATATAAGTACTACATATTGTTACATTTATACTTTCAATAAATAATTCATCAGTTTTAAAATTCTAAGTATTGTAGTAAGTAATGACAGTTAAAAATATAATTTCATTATTAACTTTGAACGTTTTTACTAACATAATATCAAACAGAGCACATTATACTATATTGGACATTGGTTGTTTTATAATAATTAGGTAATTGTCGAAATCAATTAAATTCCTAATCTTGTCTAAATTCTAATTCTCATTTAAGAATGTTTACAATAACATTACATTTTGTAAATTTAATTTATATACGTAACAATGTATTAATATTTTTAATTTTAACGCTATTGTATATTTATTATTTATACCTATGGAATTAAAAAATAGTAACATTGTAAGAATACGAGTATATACGTTAACATTCGTTTAACTTTGATTAGATTTGTCGCATTTACCATTCCTGATATAATTGAACAGTAATCATAAGAACAGTTAACTCATTTGTAATTATTATAAAGCTATTTTAAGATAATTATTAATTTATATAACACTATAGGTGTTGTTATTTTCAAAATCATACTCATAAAACAATTAAAAATTAAATATGTTTAGTTTCTAAAGTTAAATTTTTGAGTAGGAAAATAAAGGAATAATTGTTTAAACGAATTTGAAAATAGTAATACTAAAAAAATATTAAGGTTATACAGCCATTGGTTATTATAAAAATTAAAGTAAAATATAAAATCAAGAACACAATGTGTTATGTCATAACAATTTAAATAGTTAACAGTAAAATATTAGGTCATATGTATTATAGAGTATAGGACATAGGTTAACCTTAATCTATTCATTATTATAATAACTGTTTGGTAAAAGTATTAAAATCTTTGTTTATGCATTAGACTTAGGTTTTATTAACATACGGGAATAAAGAAATATCGTTGCTATTTATAATATCCATTTAATATATTGAAAATAAAATAAAGGCGAATCAATATCAAAAACGAATACATAATAATTAAAATAATAGCTACTTCGTTGGCGGAAATTCGTGAAAAACGAAACCGGCCGTTTACAATAATTATCGGTAGTAGACTAGTAGACCTTTTTATAATAATATTATTATATAATGTATATTATTTTTATTAATTTGCACTCTCGCTGCCGTCAACCACCCTACTTCCCAGTTCCCGTACATATTTACACCAAGTGTCATCGTCGTCCCCATACATCGTAACGTATTATTATTATTATTTTTATTATTACAGGTAATCCACGAGACGACGTTCTCTCCGATATTGTTCTCCCACCAATACTAGCTTTGCGGTACATGTACCATGTACTGTACCTACTTGGCCATATTATTTATGTATATATTATATATTGTAAAATAACAACTCGTGACGTAAGAGAGAGGTATAAAAAAAAAGCGATTGTAGTTGCGCCCCTCTTGTTACGTCTTGGGGCTCAGGGTTTACGAAGCGGTGCATTAGGGGGGGATAGAGGTGATCGGGCTGTATAATATAACTATATCGTGTAAAAGGCACAGTAAATTTAGTAGTGGTGGTGGTGGTGGTAATGTTATAATAACGTTCCCACCGCCACCTCGTCCTCCTACCACGTTCTAATTCTTTCATTACTACCGCGTGTTCCAGGTGGACGACGCAAACGATGACGAACAGAGCCAGCTGATCCAGAGTCAGTTGGGTTCGTTCGACGACGCCAAACCGTACTTGGACCTGGTGTTTAGCTGTGGTATCACCGGCATGCCGCCAAGTCCCGCCCCCCCGCCACCGCCTTCATCATCACTGTCCGTCGCCGGAATGATGCAGCACCACCACTCGTCGACATCATCGTATCCCTCCTCGTCGTCTGCAGCCGTCTCCACAGCATCGGTCAAGTCACATCATCACGCCGCCGCCGCCGCCGTGATCGGCCAACAACAGTCATCATCCAGGAGATCCGTATCGCCCGCGTCCGGTGGTGGATCTGTGGTACCCGCTGTAGCGGCGTCCTTCAAGAAACCGACTGTCACGTCACACGCCATGGCCAGGTCATCGTCGTCGTCTGGGGGCGGCAACGGAGGCTCCTCTTCCTCGGCGCACTTTCAGTCGCCTGCCAATCCACCTAGGTACGTACTGCGATCGTAGTACAATTATTTTACAAAGTTTTATTCAATACATCTTAAAATGCTTGAATTTAAAAAAAAAAAGTAATAAAAAGTTGATGCGGAAGTACAAAACAAATTTTCATACTAGGAGGTTTAAATTTCCTATCGATCAGGATATATCTATAGAAGGAGTACGCTAAAATATTATTTTAAAAGAAGGGGTACTACGTCCCCATACAGTGCAAGCGTTAATTTATAATGTTATGTGTAATAGGTGTCACGGCCACCGTAACCGTGACGCGTGAATACAGTTCTTTAACTTTTTCATCTGTTTGGGATTTTTGATTAATTAATTGAAAAGCAAAAAATACTACCGTCGAAATGAATTACGCATTCCGACTAATAGTGTATTCAATCCCACACGAGCTTACGCACTGGTTGGGTTAATTCCGATTTTTAATTAAACTTTTGTATCCCCGGAATTAATTGCACGCATACGCGAAATATTAGTATAATATTATTAAATCTTCTCTTATTTTGTTTGTTCCGTTTTAACATTTTCACTGTTTCTTACTACTTACTTGCTTATTATCACCGTAACGGTGCGTTTCTAACGTTTCTCAGTATCGAACACAGTTATGATTTTTGAGCGGTACTCGACGTCGTTCCGTTTTGGTGATATGTGGTGGGGGTTGGTATGGTAGTGGTATTTCAACTATATCTCTCGCCGAAAAGGCTCTATTTGACAATTTCGTAGAACCCACGTTTCTCCTTCTCCAGTTGTAATGAAAGTTTTTTGGCAGTCTAATAGTTCACAATAATGTTAGGTACCGACGTTGTTATACTAATAGGTTACCGTTATCATTTTAAATCAGATTTATTTTAATTAGCTTATTTATTCGAAAACATATTACGCTGGTGGCGTGTGAATTGTGCTAGGTCTTCTAAGCTTTATTTGTATTTTATTTTTTCGTTATCGTGTATGAATGTGTTGTAGAATAAATTGTGTTTCAAGTGTAACGAATATGTACATGTTTTGGGTAGTAAGAATTCATAATTTAATTTAATTAATTTAATAATTAACTTGTTTTGCTCCTTTCTTTTTTTCGTAAAACATATTATGGCTTACGTCTACACATTATCAAAAAAATGGTTATATGTTTAAATTATTAAAAAAAACAAGGCTCTGCATCCGATATGGTTATTTTGTATAATATTCAAATTATTATTATTTTGGTACATTACATATGTTTACTATCGTATGTTTGTTATATACAACTCGTTTCGTTTTTAAAGTTTCAATTTTTTTAACAAATTATTGAAATTCCATCAAGCATTTTGTAATTAACTTCTAATTATAAGGATAATTTGCCTATTATTTAAGTAGGTTTAGGTATAAAATTAATCTGTCTGATGAGATTTTTTGTTATTTTAAAATGGTGGCAGATAATTGATCAAATTATAATTATTAACTTTAAATTGAGTGATATGTTTGAAGTATGTGTAATCAATGCTTTTTAAAAATGGATATTATGATTGTTAACCTAGTTTTGCAAATTTTAATCTTAGACAGATAGTTTAATATACTTTATGATAAACGATTTTACAATTAGATTATTTAACTATATCCGCACACTTGTTCTTAACATTAATTATGATTAATATTTAAATACAAATACAATAGACAATAATGGAGTTGGAAAATACTTATCATTATTTTACCTATTTTTAAAATTTAAAATTTATTCGTTGAGGTTAAATCTAAACTTCTTGTGTGCTGTGTCGTAATAGATTTAATGTATTTTATAATTATCAATTCTCATTATTCAATAATAGTTTTATTGTTATTTTTGTATAAATTATAATTGTATTTTTCTTTTCATTATTATGCTAATATTACTATCTACCTATATTATAGTTAATGGTTAATGGCATTTTAATTTCATATGTTGTTTTTATTTTTTGTGTTCTGATAATTTTCAGTTCAAATTGCATTAAAATAGAAATCCTTATCTTAAGAAGGGGGCTGAACGATTTAAATTTGTTTAAAAGTTTAATTACATTTCTAAATTCTGAACACTAATCACCTTAAAATATTATAAATGTAGTACAAATCTAATAATGTATCACTCTATAGGTTACGAAACTTTGATTGGATTCAATTATATTTCAGGATACTAACTATCGTTTCCCTGAATTTAAAATCTATTTATGATTGCGGATTACTATAAATTCAGCATCGTCAAGTAGAGGAAGAAATAGGCAGGAAATCTCTCAAGCGGTTTACGAGACTTAATAGTTTGATATTATATAATATGTATAATACAAATATAAAAAGAGGACAAAAAATAACCCGAGAATTGCCAAGTAGAATAGGCGAGTAAATGTTTCAAACTAAAAGTAGTTTAAAGTACTGAGTACAAAACTATTGATAAATTCGAAAGGTGGATGATGTTGCTCTACTTTGTAGTAGTAATTTTATAACGAAATAATGTGTATATTCAATGCGGGATAAGGGAATAAAAGTGTCCAAATAATAATATAAAAAAGAGGAAATAGTATTTTTACCTAGTGAAAAAAAGTAAACAATCAATAAGCAGAAAAATGTTTCTCTTCCACTGCTGAAAAATAGGATAGAGCAATTTTCACGTCTGAATAAGATAAACGATAACGTGTTTTAAGCAGATACATCGATTGTTTTATAACGCCGTTCGTTTCGAACCCCTCTACCCCTCTAATGCTGTATGTGAGCGTTTGGTTATCAACGTTTTGCATTCACCGTATTAATATTATTATTGTTATTATCTCGCGTAGACTAAAATTAAATACCTACTTTAAATAACTTAAGTCAACCTAATAGACCGGTGGCCAAAAAATATGTATAAATTGTAGACATTAAATGAGAATAAGATATATATTATTATTTAATTTAAAGTACAATAGTTGTTTAATGTTAATAATATAAAGAGATATCAGTTATCATAACAATTTATGAATTTCACAAACTTTTTTAATTCTTTAATTAAAATTAAAATATATTAAAATATTTTTAAAGGTATTACGGTATAAATCCTAGCGGTTAGTACCATCTATGTTTCAAAAGTTGTTTTTTTAGTTATTTATATTAATATTTTTGAAGAAACCTATTTTATTTCACCAATACGCGGACGAGTTTGGGTCGTAATATAATTTCGTATGATATTATAATATTTATGATGGTGTTGTACACTATGTGTACTATTGGCAATCATTGAAATTTAATATTCGTTTCGCGCTAAAGACGACTACGACAACAAACACGGAGGCATCGCCGGCGGTGAGGATGTGTTGATACAATGAGCGTTATAATTTGTAATTCTTAAATATAGTGTGCGCGCATCTGAAACAGCTGAGAAGTGTCGTCGATCACGTGTGTGTGCGTGTGGTGCGATTGTGACGTCATATCATAAATATTTCAGTTTCGACAAATTTCCTTTCAAACAACATTCACACATAATAAAAGCATTCTACATTTATACTTTCAGTTAGTGGACACTGGACATATATATGTACACAGCACACGTTTAATGTCACTTTGTAGTAAGTGGTATTATTTTAACTTGCGCATTATGTTTTGGTATAATGTAATATATAATATTATAGTAAATGATTGACTTTTGTAGGTAGATCGGTAGACTAGGTATACGAGATTTAAACGAGTAATATATAATTTTATTGTATGTTCACCTATTTAAATTACATTATTGTAGTTATACTTATGGTGCGGTTAGTAGTGATACTCAAATGTTGTATATTAGATATAGACATTTAAACAAGAAATAACCGATTTTGTAATAGTTCTGAACGAAAATAATATTAAATTTATGTATACGTTATCATTGTTGCATAATCCTTTAAATGCTGCCGATTTACCTACGTCACGTATCGAGGCGAAAGGGAAAGAAAAAAATATTTTCTAAACTAACGTGTCTGTATCGACCATTAACGTCAACAATATTCAAACAATTAAGTTGATTTTATTTTGGAAGGAAATTTGTTTTGTATGTAAGTTACATGGTATTACCATTACATTTTCCGACGTCACCTTAGTATTGCTGTTTTTATATTGTCGAAAATTTAAAATTCTTATCAAGTGAAAGCGGTTCTCTACTTCTCTCCATGATTGACCGCTGACGCCTCGTTTCGGTGATAAAGACCTTGGCCCGGTTGTGGTTTATAGTGTATTGATATGGCGACGCAGCAGTTGTTTATGTGTATAAAGACAAAATTTAATTGTATCGGTTAAAAAAAAAAAATTAAATTTACTTCTTTGCAAGTCGTATGCATTTGGTATTTAGTATAGAATGATACGTGTGTGATTATCACAGTTAATTTTGAATAAGCATTAATAGTATCAAAAAAACTTAAGTACCTTTTCTCGTGGTCTCGACGGCTGTTACATAGAAAAACGACTTAGTATAGATATTAAGATATAGTATTATATGGACTAAGATATTCGACAAAAGTGATTACGATGTAAAAGAATGATCATCAATAATTGATTGTTATATTTAGTCTTTACGATTAATTAACTTAATTAAACCGCGAAGTTTATGAAGAAAACTGAAAAAGAATACTTTCAATTACTATAATATTATACCTATGTCGTGTGTAGTTTTTGTTTTTATTATCTTTACCACCTTCGTGTCTCCTTATAATTACCAAGTATTATTTTTATTTTTATGCCGATATACTTTGTATACTAAACTGAAAGCATCGTAATTACACCAGGGACTAACATTTAATTTGATAAAACAAAAATTATTTCTGAACAATATATTTTTCAGTGCATAATAGATTATCTTTTAGTTTTTAATTATGTTTTTAAACTTGATTAAATTTTAATTACATAATAACTAAATTTTTATCCAGTTAAAGCAGCTTTTATATATAAAGAAAACTATTTTTTATTTTAATAGTAAGTATTAATCAATTTTCAAGTAGATGTTTTTTCTTATAAATAACAAGTCTTAGAATTTAATTTTATTCAGTTCATCTAATAAAACAAATTTAATTTCGTAAGTCACGCGCACTCGTTTTGCATTAAAGAAAAAATCGTATATAATATATTCTCGAGAAAACTTTTTTCTTGTTACCGGTTTTCAAAAGTTTGCAATAATTATGCATATATATCATACCTAAGTTCGTTCCTTCTTTTTCACTTGGTATACGTATATAGTATATATTATAATTTATTCGATCGATTTTTAAACAATTACCTGTACATGAATATTATGCAACAACATAATATTAACCGCAAAACAGCTGCTGTTGCTGTGGTATATATATATGATATTGTATATACCTTCATAACTTCCTCATATCCTAGAGAACTGACGCATACAATGACATAACGATAGGTATTACGTGTTCGGTGTCGACTTAACGTGCGTTATGTTGTATAGATCAGGTGGTCACCAATTAATTTCTTTGGAAGTCTATTTTTAAGTATTATACCAAACTTCCCGTGGTCTAAAACACTTTTGATGACTTTTTCTCACACATTAACAATTAATAACAAATACATATTCTATTTATAAAAATTTAAAGTGTAAATTAAAAACTATCAGAATCCGTAAAAAAATGTGTCCATGGTCCGTTAGTTGTTGACTTCCGGTACAGATAATAGAATATAGATTAAAATTGTTTATATGATTAGCTATTAGCAGGATTATAATAATATCTGTTTACTTCAAACACAAAGATTTATTAAAAAAAAAATCATCACCGAAATTGCCAAAATTTCAATCTCGTGTATTAGGTACGTCTGCGAGCACGTTCTGAAGACAGAATAATAATTATGTTCGTCACTGCAGCAGTGTATAGTCGACTGCTACCACGAACAAGAAAATTGTTCTGTATGAAAGTGCTTGGTTGTAAACACAAAACGTTTGGTCCGCCCACCCAACCCATGAAAGATAATTTTCTTAGTGATGTTAATGACGTATATAGTACTAGGCCGAATGGCCGATCGGAAGGGGGGTTGCGAACATTCTCAGATTCGCGTCAGTTTATTGGATTTGTAAACGTAAAACGAAAGGTGGCAGCGTAGGCGTGTGACGGAATCCATTACGTTATTGAACCTTAATGAGCGAGATGACATTATATGTATAACAAGCGTGTGTACGCTGCTCACTGTCACACTGCAGCAGTAAAGCTCAGTGGTCATCAATTGTAGTTGTAGTAGTTTATTCGAAAATGGTCACCCAGTATAATAACCACGGTGTATATTATATATAAATTATCCGTCAACACTGTGCTCTCGGGAATACGGTCAACGGATATATTATTATATCGCTTAGACTGCTTAGAGGTTAAAGTTAAATATCATATTATCCGGTCGCTACCATCTCAGTAATAATGGTTTTAATAATAAGTAATTATATGCGAATACTCCTATACTTTAGCTCGGTACACATCAGCATCATTTTCATCATTGCCTTGGCCACTTAGCATACTCATAAGCTCGCCGGTGTATCCGATGACAATCATTATGTGGACGGGAAATCACCATCGTCACACTTGTTAAAAGATGAGAACTTTGATTGCCGTCGTAGCGGAAACGAAAACAAAAAATTAAAAATATCAAGTGACAAGATGATAGTTTGTTTTGTATAGGGGTTCCGATTTTCTCAGACGCACGTTCGTTGATCGCAGTGGCATATCGTCGTGTGTTTATTCTTGTAGCTATTATATAATGCAGGTATTGTAGGGGCTTACGTTTTGAAATTTAAACAGCATAATACTATATAATATATTATAATATCATTGTGCCTTAAACACGCGTATGATATAGTTTATAATTAATTTCTGAGTAAACATTAACTGAAGTAAAAAAAAAATGGCTTGAGTACGTACTTAATAACATTACTGTATTCATATATACCTACCTAGTCTATAGTATTTACTAACGTTGTTTCGAGGACATGTGGTGTGTAACGTCATGTTCAATGTTCTTGTATGTTATTATTTACATTGCAGTCTATTAATTTATTGTTCTGTCGCTGTGTACGTTCGTAATTTTAATAAAAATTCGGCTCGAAAGAACGGCACGTTTTCAAAAAATGACTAAGTAAACGGATGTTGTAGTTGATTTATTTATTGAATAGTCTCCATGGCAGTTGTACTAAGTATAAGATTAAATAAACCTAAAAGGCAATAAAATAATTTCAAATTCGATTGTCGAATTAATTTTTATCATATTCGTTTTACGATAATTCGTAATTGTATATCCCGTTTGACCTCTAAATAGGATATATTACATTGTGCATATATCCCGAGGGTAACATTAATTTTTTTCATACAAATGTGTGTGTTGTGCGTGCTACACGAGCAATATATATTATTTATCCTACAATATCACATACGTACGTATTGCGAATAATTCTATTGTATTCTTAGAAAGAACAAGTTACTGTGTTTTATATAACAACTACTTTATTACTTGGAAATTCGTTCTATGTATGGTGACTATTTACCTCAATATAATCATAATCGTGCAAGTTTTTTTTATTAGATAGGTTTTTTCAAAATTGGTAACAGTGATCGAATTTTTTAAGTTTTAATTTCAATATACCTCCATATACTTTCTAATATAACCCCGAGTGTGCAATTTTTACATAAAGGTAATAATATTACAAAAAAATATATATGTATAAATATTAAAAAAAATATTAAATATATTATATTTAACAAATTTTAAAATTGTTGCTACTTTTTTTAGATAAAAGATACAACTCCTAGGTTTTTTACTTCAGTTATCTAAAACCTCTTTCGTTTAAACACCTCCGTCATCGACTTTTTATTATTTATTAATGATTTTGAAAGTATTATATCATTGTTTTTAGTGTCTTTTGTTTGTTTACTGTATTACTGTAATTATTTTATTTGTTATTCATGTGTACTAGATAATATTAAATAATTATAATTTATGATGAAATTAACATCGTTCTTTCCAAAATGAATGCAATGTGTTTTGATATTTCACGTAATCAAATGTTAGCTTATTTTGAATTGTGCTATTTAAATATAGAAAATGCAATTCAAGGTTAAGAAAAATATTTTCAATTACAATTTTGTTATTCTGTTTATTAAACATTATTAATGGGTACCTAATAGTCAAAAAAATTTTAATTAGTACATATTTTTATGTGACTTTTACACGACATGTGTAGGGTTGATTTTGAATTAAATACTATAAGCAGCAGGGTATCCGATTAGTTGTACCAATTCAACGCATTCAATGTCATTTTATAGATAACTAACAGAAATTTTTTTTTTTTGTTCATTTAATCATACTATTTATTACGATAACTATGGCAAATGTATATTGATTTAGTTCAGTGTATTAAAAAACGCAAAAAACATTGTATTCGCTTTTAAATTTAAACAATCTAAAATATGTTTATATTAAAGTGACGCGCCCGTGCATGTCTGTATATATTTGAACTCAACGTGAGTTCCCCATTACAGATTAATTTAGTGATAAAAATTTGTTATTATTTATGTGAGAAGAATTAATAAACGCGCACGCCAAAATCACCCAGTGAAGAACCTCCTTTTAAACTGTACTTATAGTGACACCGGCGTAACCTCGAACGGTTGCCAAATATCGTTTTGAAAAATTATCGCTAATTTAGGACAAAACAAGGTTGTCTGCCGGTCGGTTATTGGTTAAAATACTTGTGCACGCACGCAAACGATATCGTGAGATAAATCGTTAAATGGATTAATATGTGTGTACATATTGTCATAATCGCATATTGTATACATATTATTTGAATAAAATCGTCAGTTGCATTGCGGGGTTGTTAAACAGCGTCGAACACGTGGGAGAATGACCTAATTAAAATCTTTGTAATGTTTCTCTGTATATATCAATATATCGAATTAGGTTAAGATTTACTTAGCCGTGGATAGTTTTTTTTAAAAGTCAACATAACTATACCCGTCTTAGGCTCAATCATGCAACTATACCTGTATAATATAAAACTAATATAAACGTGTACGATACTTACGTCATGTTTCAGAATATTTTCAGACTTTGGCGTCTAAACGTCAAAGCATCTTCTGTATACGATAAAAAAAAAATAAAACGGCGGTATTTTAGTGCGAATAATTGAACACATCGTCTGCGACGACCTTCGGTGGCGAGTGTTTGATAAAAAAACCCAAGTCACTCGTATCTTACAGTTGTATATTATATTTATGTGTCGTATTTTATGATTCATAAGGTTAGCGTTATTGCGCTTAAATTTAAAACTACGCATATAGTTGAAATCAGTCGTCACCTTCTTTAAAATAAAAACATGTTATAAAACAGTATATCATACTAGATTTTCATTTATTTTTCAGAAGCAGTAATTTTTTGAAACCAGGTGAAATGAAGCCACCTTACTCGTCGATGAGCCGATCCACGGGCAGTAGCATGAGAAGTAGCCATTCTTCGCACCACAGACCCACACATAAACCCAACCTTGCCATATCAAATGTAAAGAATGTAAATCGGTTTACATAATCTTACGTTCTAACTTATATGCGATGTGGTTCATCTCTTCTCGCATATTTGATTACGTCGTAGAAAATAGTCTGTTTATTAATTTATTATATTTTTGGTTTTTGCAGAGTCATAATACAAACGATACCAACACGCCCAGCACGATCGAAGACATTCTAAACGTGAGTAATTGTGTTTTATATAATATTATCATATTAAGTGCGTTGTTTAGTGTCGCCTTACGTGACGTCTGTAATGATTACAGGAAATGACCGTCGGTCTTCCACTCGTCTCGGACATTGCTGAAACACCAAGGGTCTCGATTGTTGATTCCAAGTACACCGCCGACGGAAAAGTAGAACCGCAGCAAAGGATGAGCCCCAAAGGTTATTATATGCATAAATATATATTTATATATATGTTTAAACGCTTACATATTTGTTTTGTGGACTGACACTATGGTCTACGATTACCTGCCGAAATATAAGATACCATCGTTATGTTTTTGCATGTAGTTAGTTACAACGATGCTGCGATTTCTATGTACATCTTATGAAAAAAGTCGTCTGAACGACTATCCAGACAAAATTGATGGGGTGCATCTTGTGTAGTTCTAATTATTATTTTGATATCTCTTGAACACGAATTTCTCCTCTCCGTCGTATTCCCGATGAAACTTTCTGTTTTTTTTATAAACCATTCTCGAATATTATCACCGACTAGATCTTTTCCAGGTCATTATTTTTTTTATGTTTTACGATCGATCAATTGTTATTATAACATCGTTAAGACTTTCAATTCCCGTCACCGCTACTCGGTTCTCTTTGTTCACTAGGTACTACTCGTCAAATATTGTCGTTATTATTCGAAACGCGTGTATACTGTATACCTATATGGTGCCAGCTTTTTGTATTAATTTAACTATAACAATAATATTGCTATTAATCCGTCTACATAATTTGTTATACACACACACGACAGAGTTGGAAAACAATGTAATTTACTTGAACTTAACTGTGTTGTATTAGGTATTTTGAGGATGGTTAATATTCGTTGTCATTCACATTATATTCCATCATATACAAATGACGAATCCCATTGGCGTTCATTGAAACTTTTCCTCTCGAATTTTTGTAGTAAAACATTAATAGTATCATTGATGGTGAATTGTTGATTCTTTTACATTTATGTGGTTTTTTTATTTCAAACGCGATGAACTAAAATAATAATAAAATATTATTTGTACACATCATTATTATAAAATATATGTCATGCTGGTGCTTGTTGTCGGTAATCACCCTTCACGGTGTCTTAGTGACTAAAAATTGTTAAATTTAAAAATATTAATTTTATATTAAACAAGACGTTATTTAGTAACTAAGATTGGAGTATATTATACTTTTTATTTTCTACCGTACGTGAAGATCTTTTTTTGTTTTTTTTTTCGCTAACGTAAACACACACACTCAAACGTGTACATACTACATTATATTAATAGACTTGCGTAAGGTGTATTTTGAGATGGGTGTCCATCGTATGACCCTTCTCATTTCTCTTCACATGATTACTGTTTGAATGCTGTTGTCATTGTCACTACGTTGACCTACCTGACGTTTTTTCGTTTTAGCCCATGTCTCTGCTGTCCCATTGCATTTATTTTATTCATTAAACTTAATTTTTAATAATTTATTCCCTATACTATCTCATTCTATATACACATACTAAATAATTTGATTTTGATTTTATTTATAATTTGTATTTTCTTAGTTACAATTTTGATCTTGTAAATTAAATTAAATGTTTTAATTATCGAAATTATTTGTCAAACAAAATTTAAAATAACTAATTCATACAAAAAAAAAAAAAAATGTTTTATTTCATGAATCTAATTGCATTACATTTTTTTTGTCGATATCAGTACTTCAATATTATTATAATTTATGTAATATATTATTGTATCTCGTGCGTTTCTATTAAAAGTACGTCATCTCAGTCACCCAGTTTTTATGGATAATCTATTTCACTGTGCACTGTATGATGTATTATTATTATTATCATGATTTATTATTGTACGATATTGAATTTCAAAAATTCCCTTCTGCTCGTCTTGACCTTTACGATAAGAGCTTTGCAATTTGTTCAAAAACACACGTCTGCTTCAGCCGATAAGGGTTTCAGGCTTCGGCGTGGGATTGCGGACAAAACACATTTGAATCGTAACAAGGGGCGTTGTTCCGTTAAAACTCACAAAATATGTGTGTAGTGTGCATAAAAAAAGAAAATTATAAATCCGAAAGAAAAAAAGTAAACCTTAAAATAAATCTGTCTTGCTCAATTCTTCGGGGAAAGGTGTATAATATGTATATATAGATACAATATATAATGACGGGGTACATACTATGTTTACGGCGGAAAAGTCTCCCTCGGTGCTCATACACATATATATTTATATATGAGTACTAGCTATATTACTATTGGAAAATTTCGTTCATTTTTCTTAATATTGATTTTTTTACTCAAAACCAATTATTAGATGCTGCTTTTTCATACAATGTTCGTGTTAATTATATTTCTACGTGTACTGTGAAGTGTGTACAGTAATAATCGTAATAATTTCATTATAATAATAAATTACTGTATATCTTATGTATAAAAAACTCTGGGTCATTGTTGGTCGCGGCCCCAATTTAATTTTCAAACGCGATTACTCACAAACACCATCTTCAACGTCTTCTGTTTCCAAGTCACTGTCCATAGAATTTTCTACATTTTTTTGTACGTTTATTATGATCTATAAGAAAAACTAGGTCAAATTGTCGTCAGACTATGCATACATTAATATAGTTAGGTAGATTACTTTGGTATAAGTGTTGATAGGATAGTGATAACAGTGGTCGTAAAATAGTCACAGTCGTTAAAATATTTAAATTTTCTTTTACCTCGGAAAAATACCTACGGTATGATTAAATATAAAAAAGGAATTCTCTCGTCGTCTCTGGCAGTCTTACCGACGACGGGAACGATACTTTGTCGCGAGGGGTCGCTTTCGAAGTACAATACAAAGTACCATTACAAAATACTAAATATCTATGGTATTTTTATTATATTATTATTTTTTAGTATAGCGGGCGCCCTCTGTGTTCATAGTAAAATATCAACGGCGTCACGTGTGTTCAGCGGATCGTTTGCGACGGCGTGATGGGTCGCCCTTTTGTCGGGGTGGGGTCCAACTCTCTCTTCCCCTCCTAGCAACTATTTCTCTCTCAACAAGAATAATGTATAATAATATTATACCAACCGTTTTCCTTTATAATGCCGCATTTACCCCTTACTTACTTGTACGACGCGTTTTTATCGTCATGTTTTTTTAACGCCGATAACGCGATATTCTGATTTTGTCTCCGCCGGAGATAATATTTCGCGTGTTCTATCCGGTGCGTCTCAATTATATGAGTTATCATACGATTGATTACGGTTTATACCGCGTACCCTTTCCTGTCGTCTTTTTGTGACATTTTGTTGATGATTGTATACTATTGCCTGCTGGAAGCTGTTGATGCACGATTTCGTGATAAAATATTAAAAATATAACCGCCCCGAGATCAATGCTTGATATTTTAAACTGCAGATGATTACACATTACAGCAACTTACTACTTACATTCGCCTTAATTGGAGTCCATCGAGTATCGTTTGTTTTCGGTCAAATTCTTAAAATAGTTATCTCTATTACATACACTGAACGAGTTGCCAAAATAATAATACGATTCTTTCGCCTCGCCTTTGTGCATGATAAACGTGACGTTTTTTCACATTTAATTTCACTGTAGTGTCGGTGATATTACATTTTTATTATTATTATTATTATTTTAGTCATTGGATAAAATATTGTGCGCGTGCCAACTACCAATGTTCTTTATTAGTTTCTTTCTTTATTGTCTTGAAAAAATACCATTTAAAGGATTAAATCCAGAAATATATAATAATATTAAGATATTGAATATCATGTGCATTCAATGTTTTGCTGATAATAATAATTTGATGTACAAATGACGTAAATAATTACGCGTTTCTATTTCTCTCTCAAAGTAAAAACATTTCTTTTAAATATTATCTTATCGGTATTTTCAAACTTTTTAAATACATAATTTTATCAATAAAATCGTGGAGTGTAATGTGTTAGAGCGAGTTCCTTATGTATTTGTAATATGAAACTTGACCGGAAACATTGACTAGTTTATCAAATGTTATTTTGTAAGATTGTAAAAATGTATTAAGAAATATCAGTTACTATACAATAGTACTCCACTATTGTTTATTGAAAATATGAAGCCAATTAGTGTTATTATATTATTATAGTTATTACTTATTAGTTATTACCTATAGTTGGTGTGTACCATTACATATGTATTAAACACACCTGAATTTGAATTAAATAATTGATGAATTAAAACAAATTAAAATTGTAAAAAAGTGCTTTAAATAAAAAATACTCATTTCTTACAATATTTTTCAATAGTTTTATTAGATTAGCAACCATATTTACAAACTTGGAACAGGTATATGTCAGATGAATTTATACTGTTTTTTAATCTAAGCATTTGAATAATCTACTGAAAATTCAAAGCTAAGAAAATAATATGATTTATATTTAATGATTTATAGTTAAAGAAAACCAATAAATTTATTGTATTCATAATAATTTAAATTAAATGAGATTAAATTTGACTCGTAATTTTTATAAAAATAAAAATAAACTAAGTTTGATCTCATCGGTGGAAAAGATCGCTCAAACACATAACAGTATATTTTTATCATTCGTTTAAATGCATTGCAATTTTTACAAACTCGCTAAATTTAAATTTCCTAAATCCAAATATACCTACTGTAAATTATAAATATTGATAATTTTATTAATAGCTCGATAACATTTAAATACTACGAATGTAAGAAGAAGTATAAACAAAATTACACTTATTGATGTGCCAAATATAAAATATTGAAATCCGCATTTCTATTTACTACATTAATAACATAATATACACATTTAGATCCATCTATTCATCAACCTTTAAGAGCTTAGAACTTTAGAAGAGTCCATTTAGATTTAAGTATCAATGTATCATAGTCGCCTCAGTCGCTTATGTTTTTATGTTTTTGAAATATTTATAATTATTTTGATTATAATTTTTGATTATTGTTAATTATTAATTATTTTCAAATTATTACTTACAAAAACAAAACAATTTAATACAAACGTATAATATTATATATTATGTAAATTTTAATTCACTTTATTGTCGAATTTTGCATGACGTTATAACAAATTAGTATAATGACACATTACATATGAATTTAATGAAGGTAAAACCTGAGTATAATTCACAAATCACAATGACTTGTTAAATTTCAGATATCACAAGCTTCTAATGTATGTGTACAAAATAACGGAATAATAGACACAATAAAACACACACACACAGTAAATTTTATACCTAGACTACTACTTACACTATAGTTTTTATATATTATAATAATTAAAATTAAGTATTTTATTTAGAGTGGTTAAATATTGTGTCGGTGACTTAGAGATAAGCGGTATTTTAATAAAAACTATTGAAAATGTTATAATAAATATTGCTCGGCGTCGAAAAGATATTAATCGTGGCATTGATACTGTAAGTCTTGAATATTTATATAAGTTCGCACATTTCTGGAATTTTCAATTGAATAATTATTTGGTGAGACTTACATTACAATTTATACTACATAATATTATCTTCGTAAATATATTTTAAACAAAGATTATCTATTAGTAAAATTCATACTAAACAGTTATTAGTTCTATCAGTTTCGTATATCAACAACATGGTGTATCCTCGTTAATGAAATATTTATTTTGTTGTATTGCCTTAATTATTGCTTTTTATAAATGTTTTTACAGAATTCAGTTTTTAAAAAACCTCTTTGAACCGTTTTCGCTTTTATTATTTTTAAAATAAAAACAATGATTTTTTTTAATTTCAATATCTATATGTGTGGCTTCTGAAAATTAATCATTAAATTACCATTTAATTATATTATAATTACTGCATTCTGTTGCAATTTACTTCCAACGAATCGGATTAGTTTATGAATAATAAATAATAATTGTTCAATACTTACTTACTATATTGCATTATTGCTGTAGCTTTATGTTACAGTACTACGCTGTATGACAGCCTTTTATGTTAAGTTTATTAATTACTTGTTACAGTTTTATTTTTTTTAAAAGTTTTATAAAAATTATATAAATTTTTAGTCGCAGTCTAAGCGTTGAATTTCCAACCCCGTTGCGAACGTTCTGCGAATTGTCCTACAAATGTTTGTCAAACTGCGTTGTAATCAAATGTTTCAAAGTTATAATCTTATAAATTATAATTTATTATAATACGAGTTAACCAATGAGGTGTCATTACTTTATTTTTAGTTTAATAGATTATACTTAATAATTCTCAAATGTTAATAACTACCTAATTTATAATTAAACATAATTACCTATTGAACTAACCTTTTATCGAAAATACGACCGTAATTAATTCATGCTCTGAGTTAAAATTAAGTGTTAGTCGGATGCGACGACCTTTCTATGTACGAACGGTATATCTATGTTTCTCTTGACTATGAACAGTGTAAGTACACTAAATAAATTTAACTTGACTGAAATTATCGTGTTGACAATCTTTTTTCATGATTTAATGTAGTTAATATTTAATGGTCATTAATAAATTACCAAAATCAAAAGGTTATAACCTAATATAATGTAGATATACAAGATTATACGTATACTTAAATATATTTTATAGCTTGATTTTGAAAAATTAGTATTTTATTATCCTGTACTTATATCTATGTAATATTAAAAAAAATGTCTTGGGTGATAATAAAATTTAATCGTCTCATATTTTTAGACTCATACTTAATATACAATACTATGAATGTATGATTAAAATATATAATGGTTAATGAAGATATTATAGTCTAGTGAAGGTAACTGACTTGAATGGAAACATGTCCTATTGTGATCAGATTTTCAATTTGTTGTTGACATACACATTCATTAACGTCTCCTAGAGTATTTGCAACCCTTCTGCTAAACTACATTCTACTTCCGCGGTGTACAATAAACGGAATTCACATGGCATATTTTTAGGTTTTTTTTTTTTTTTTTACTTTCCGTAAACTAAATAACATAACATGCCGCGATTCCAGGTTACAATAATTTCATAAAAATCGGTGGGGGGCGATTGTTTCGATTCGTTTTATGTATGTGTGCGTCTTGTAGACACAGCAGCTGTTGTCGACGGAGAAAAAAATTAAACACAAAAACCAGATGCTTGTGTTTTTGTTTTGTCGTGTAGTATTATGCGCGTGTGTACGCGTATACAGTCTAGTAGAAAACTCGCAGCGACCAACAGGTAATATATTGAAATATAAAAAATTTGGCGGTTCCCGCGCGAATTTCTCACTATGTTAATATATATTTAAATCTCACGGGGTGTGACTGTATACTTCGTCAGTTCACCCTAGATACATCGCTATTATTATTATTACGAATACAATGCGTTATATACGACTAGCTTAATATATATTATTATGTACACTAACCCCCCGACTTTAATCGATCCCTTTTTTTTCTCCCACTCATCAACTGTTCCCCGCGATATGTATATTCTCTCGATCCGTTCACTCGCACCGGTTTATTATTAAATATACGCGACGGGATTTTGTAGTGGGGTAGTACGTGTAGTTGTAATGGTGGTAGTAGGTAGTCGTCGTCGATCGTCGTACTGCAGTTGTATTGTGCTGTAAAAGAGGGTCGTCGCCGCGACGTGCGTGCTCGATGATTCACATGGCCGCCCGCCGTCGTAGTCGTCATTGTGCCGGTTGCATTTTATTGCCGTAGAGTTTGATTAGATGTCATAAAATATGATTGTGTGTCCGTTTTAGATGCGTCCGAGAGCTTGAAAAAAATGCTCGGCGAAACCAAACAACTGTTTGCGGATCCCGTGCATAGAAATCAGCAGCCTTCGTCGCACGGCGTTTCGCCGGACGCCGCTGCTTCCGTCTCCGCTGCAGCAGCAGCAGCCGCGGCGGCCGTGCCCATGGACGCCAAACCATCGGGGCCATACAATCATTCGCTATTCGCATCGTGAGTATATTTAAAATCAATATACATATATTATATATAATAATACCATATTTATTTAGATTATATTATTTGAAGTGTCGTGTGGTCTGATTCAGTATTATTTCATTTTTTTACTTATATTTGTTAAATTTGTTTATCATTTAATTTAAGTCCGTTTTATACTTACATTTAAAATTTTATCTGACACGTACTTTTTTTAATACATACTATGTATAATAGTCGTTTCGGTGAAGACGATTATTTACCATTTATTCGGGCGTTGATCTTTGAGATAGAAATAATGTTATTGTTGACATTCAATGCTAAAGGATATTTTTGTTCTATTGTTGCAGGTACATGGTTAAACCGTCAGTAAGAGGATCCAACATTATGCCGCAACCACAGCAGACGCAACTGATGCAGGTAGGTTGAAACGCAGTTGAATATTTCTCCGTCCCCCACTAATCCCTTTTACTTTTTCGTGGTGGGGATAGCATTTTTTCATCACTTTTACCTAAAATGTATCGTTGTCGCAGGAATCCCAACAGTTATCGTTATCACCACCCACTGACAAGATTCGCCGAAGTTCTACATCAACCAACGTCATATCGTCGGACACAACCAACTGCAGTTCTGCCAAGTGAGTTGTGTACTGTGTAGTGTGTATTACAGTAATACTATTATAAAACTGTGGTGTGATTACACTTGCCAAGTTCGCGTTTTGATCTTTTATAAAATGTACTTACAACCTCGGCGTGTGCGTAGGGCCGATAAAACCAGTAGTGACATGTCCGTGGATGAGGATAGTTCATCTAGCGAGGAAGGCGAGAAGGATAGCAGTTCAGATAGTAGCTGCAGTGATAGCGAGAGCAACGACGAGAAGAAGGAAACTGTTCCACCATTGGCTGTTTCGCCGCCCCCACAAGAGGAACAGGAAGAAGAACCTAAGTGGTATCTAAAAAACTTTTTGAAAAAGAATACACCCGACACGAACAACACGACCAGAACGTCACAACAGGTGAGAGTTATTGTGATTTTTCTCTATATTAAATATTTAATTCACGACCCGTTTTAATTTGCAATTTTGACGTGTGAGTCTCGTTGACAATGTCTACACTCCCGCGGTTATAATCGACACAATGAAATTTATGTTACTTCGATCAGGATCTATGGTTGATAATCTTGAACAACGATTTTGATAATTTATGTACCTACAATTTTGTTCATCACTTCAAACTTAATAATATTCATTGCCGTTAGGTACAGTCACGGTTGATGAACATAGAATGTAATTTTATTGTAAAATACTGTGATATAAATTATAATATTATATAGGTAGTGGTACCTACTGCTAAACTTATACATACATAATATTATCTATGATAGCACATGAGTGTGTTTTATCATCGATTTATTCATTGTTAGTTTAATAATTATTACTAGTTACTAGAGTTATAATACACAATGTTGTGTTAAACATGAATGCAATCCACAGGCTGTTATCATGTTGCGCTTGTTAAAACGAGGTTAAGCCTAGGATGAATGCTGTAGTGTGTTGCAGCATTCTCATTAAAGTAAAGTTCATCGTTATATATTTTATTGTTGTTCTTCTTTTCATTTTGGTCACTTAATTAACACAATCTAAAAATAGTTTATTAATGAGACCGCTATGTTGTGGAATAACATTATTAACAAAACATCTTTAAGCTGCTTCGGAAATAATATTACTGATTAATGTTTATATATATCATTACTTTAATATGAATCAATTACACTATAAAAATATTGTTGGTTTATAATAAAACGATATCTTCAATCGCTATTGAAAAAAAACCCATCTCTTCAATGTTAGGTAAGGACATAAGGTGTTTTAGCTACTCCATAAACTGTTCAAGCATTATAAAATGTGTTTATAGAAAACATTTGCATCTATTTACTAAATTCCAAAAATAATAAAAACAATAATATTAAAGTTTCCTTTTCTGCAAACAAGCTAATAATTTTCATTACCAAATAACAAATGGTATAAATTATGTTCAAATACTAAGACATTAAATAACATTTTAGAATAATATTAATATTTTTAGTTTATGAAAATTAGGTAATCCATTTAAAAAATTTAGATTACCTAAATATTAAAATATAATGTTTTAATAATTAAACTATAATGATAGTTATTTTTATAAACTTGATTTTATTTGATATTCTCAAATTAATTTTTATCACAAATGTATATTAATTTAAATAATAAATAGAATATGTTTATTTTCATAGGAGGAACCTGCTGGAATGACTGATCCTAAATCTAGTCCAAACTTTCCTACACAACGATCTGAAGTTATTGAACTATTATCAGAAATGTCAGATTCAGACTCTAATCACAGTGATAAACAAAAAAGCCAATCTGATTCATCATCCTCTTCATCCTCTTCATCTTCATCATCTGAAGACGAAGACGATAAAAAGAAAAAATCACATGACAGTAGTTGTGATAGTGATTCATCTTATAGTAGCCGTTCACATGTATCATCTAAGCAAATAACAGACTTACATAAGAAATATTCAGCATTAGCAAAATGTGAGAAAAAGGATCTCAAAAAATCTTCTGTAAAACCTGCTAAATTAGTAGAGAGAAAATCAACACCAGTGATAATTAAAAAAGAGGAACCAGTTGAAGAACCGGTTGCAAGAAAGAGAGGTCGAAAGAAGGGTCCAACAAAGACTCCAAAACCTCTTCTGCCATCAAAAATCAAGTCAAAACCTTTGATTTCATCAGATACAGAAGATGATGAACCGCCTAAACCAGTACGAAGAGGTCGACCACCAGGTAGTAAAAATTCAAAAGTGATATCAGCTAGCAGTGAATCTGAAGAATGGACTGATAGTAGCCGCAAGAGTCGAAAAAAAGATACTGAGAAGAAGTCTTCACATTCAGTAAAGAAAACACCCTCTTGGGAAAAAAATCAACCACAAAAACCTGTAGCTCGAGTCACTGCTGCTATGCGTCAGATTAGCAGCGCAGATTCAGACTCCTCTGATGTAGAATGTAGACCACCACCTATGTCAACAACAACTGAAAGTCCACCCAAACTTGATGTTGAAGGAATCAAAGTACAAGATAAGAAAAAGAATGATACTTTAAGGAAGCTGTTTATAACAAGACGTGAGGATGGTGGTGCCAAAAGTGGTGGAAAATCCAAAGGTGGTAAAGGTGGCAAAGGTGGGGTTATTATAATTGATAATAACGAAGCAATGCGCAATGATAATGAACGTGTTATATCTCCTGTACCAGTCATTCCACTTATACCTAAAGAACCAGAAAGCCTAAAGACTTTAAAATTATCTGTGATGTGTAAGATACCATTAAGTAAGCTGCCACCTAATTTAAATTACTTGGTGAAACCTGCAAGATCTGAAGAGCTAAGAACCTGTGCTGATTTGGCAAATACACGGCAAGATGAAAAGAAACAAAAGCATAGACATCATAAACATCATCACAAAGGCAGTCCATCACAAACCGCTCCAGGATCAGAAAAATCTAAATCCAACGAATCTCCAGCTAATACTGCTCCGCCTACTCAGCCTCTTCTCCAACAGCCATCTTCTGATGGCTATTCCAAAGGTATGGTGGAGAATGTTAATGTATGGCGTAAGCCAACATCTGTATGTGCAGTAATACCAGAAGCAAAAGTCAAACCTCTTGAGCATAGGTAATTCTTATTATTTATTATTATTTTGAAATTTATTTGTGTAATATAATTTATTTAAATGTTATTAAATATGTATATTTTGAATTTTAGTACTATGTCATATTTGCAACGCCCAGCTGCTACCAGTGGTCTGATTCATGGTCCTTATGAAGAATCATCTGAAGATGAAGATGGTGGACCACCTCCTTTCCTTCCTTATAGTACTACTGCTGTTCAAATAATGGACCCACGGTATAAACGTTCACTGGAATTAGATCAATACTCTCCTAATGCATCAAAAAGACGAAAGTTTCATAATCCAACTGGGTCAGCAACTCTAGGAAGATATGCTACTGGAATAGTAAGTTAATTTTAATACAGTTGCAAATCAAATAAGTACAAATTAACCACTGGTACTTTTCTATATTGATCAGCATTCTATAATTTTATTCTTATTAAATCAAGTTAAATTGATTTTTGATACTTAACTTAATATGTGTTATAATGTGATACTAGTTAGTAGTTACTGTTAGGTATAAGTATGTATAAAATATTTGGCAATCATTCCACTATTGTTTTATACTTATTCATAAATTATAAATTATTATTATATATTATATTAATTGACTGCTGTATACAATAGTAATAATAATAATTATAAAATAAATAAGAAATATAAAACAATAATATTTCATTGTTTTCAAACAGGGCGATGGATTAATAAATGATATCTTGGTGGACCGCATGCATGAAGTTCCTGTCCAACCTCCTCCCAGACAACCTTCATGGCGTATGCAATCCATGCACCATCAGTACCCTCCAAGGAAAAGATTCTTCTCATACTTTGTTACCGACTTATATCCTGAAAACAAGTAAAATTACCAGAGAAATATATTTTTTTAAATTATTATTTACTATGTCGTTAATTTTTTTATTTTAGTATGCATCAAGAGGTTCCATTAAAGGAGGCACAAGCATTGACCAAATTAGCAGAATACGAGCCTGATCCTATTACCCAAGAAATGAAATATTTAGATGGTATACTATGTTTTGTGCTTAGTGGTCATTTGATGGAGAATGATGGGACTAGGGAAAGAGCAGTGCTCAAGATTTATAATGATACTGTTGACTTAATTAAGTAAGTATAAAAATTTTATTTTATTTTTTCTGTTTGACATATTTTCTTATGTTTTCCTAATATTTTTGCAGAGTTATTTGGTCAAAAATCTACAACTACCGTGCAGACTGTGATCACGAGGAGCTAGACGAAATATTTGAAATGGCTGATAATCCAGAAAGGGATAATAGACTGTTAATACTTTGGTAAGTATATATTCAAAGTACTTTGGTTTTTTTTTTTTTAGTTAATAACAAATAACTATTTGTTACAGGATGAGGTGTCTTAGCTTTTTGAGATTGAAATTGTTTAAACTACTTGTATACCAAAATAGACAGAATTTCAAGACTGTTCAGCAACATTTCCTCAAGGTAAGTTTTTCTATTTGAGGTATTAGCATTTACGTATGGACCTAACTTAAATGTTTGACCAGAATGTGGGTTCAAGTCCCATCTCACCCTCTCCATCACCAGCCAGTTCTGTGGAAAGTCACTCATCAGGATATTGTAGTAGTAGTATTACTCCTGGTGGTGGAGCTGTATCATCAGGGGTTGCGACAGGTGTGATCGGAGTTCCAATAGTTGTACACAATGCTATTCATTCGCAACATATATTGTATTGTCATTTGGCTGCAGCACACGAAATGTGGCAACGTGCTGACCTTTTAGTTATGCGTGGAAAACATACACGTAAGATATAATGAATTTAATTTTTAAAACTGATTTTACACTACTAACTAAATTATCTACTGTTTTTGTATTATAGAGTTCTTTGTTGAGATGGACCGGCATTGTGGACCGCTAACATTACATAGCACTGGCCATGATCTCACACTGTATGCTCGCATTGCTATTTCTCGCATGAGATGTGAGTTTAATATAAAAAATTACCTTCCATGATATTAGATGAACACCTCGGAAGCTAAGTCATCGCACATATATAAAAGTACAGACCGTACAGTTTTGTCGCATTTCTTCATCGTCTTGGGCTTCATTGTAACGAGGAATTTCATTTCTGTTTCATGTTAATCGTTTATAAACTACTTAATGTAGGTTATAACATTATGATATATATTCTGTATATAACTCATGTACAGCTACTTCTAATTCTCTTCAATATATTCTGTGAACTTTTTTTTTTTTTTTAAATAATTTTAACTATGAATTAATAAATTGTTATATTTTGACACAAAATACTAAAAAAAAAAAAAAGAAAAAAAGTTATATTAATATATATTTATAATAAAAAAAAAAATTATGTATATGTAAATCATATATGAAAAATATTAATTAAAATTTGATTCTTAGTAAGACTCTTAAATAACAGTCTTAAAAAGCAAATTTTGGTTTGGGTATTTAACATGGGATTTTAAATATATAATTATTATTTTTATGTACTACGTATATATATTATTATTATTAATCTTTTGATGACATTAAGTTACATATTTATTTTAATCTTGCAACTTTTAAAAAATATCAAAAAAAAAAAAAAAAAAAAAACATTAATTATATTAATAAACAGTATATCTGTTTTATGAATAATTATAATTTAGAAATTAATATAACTATATATTTTTATAACGAGTTATAAACATCTGATTAATTATGTTGTATAGTAAAGAATGATTATTAAGAGTTTGTTTTATATGTAAAACATAAACAAAAAAAAAAATGTATAAAAGAAAAGTTGTGTGATTAAAATAAAACTATATATGTATTTAGTATATATTGTATAATTGTATATATAATATATATTAATATGTATATGTGGGAATTCATTCCTCGCTTAGTTAAATTTATTTGATTGTTGTGTCTGAGATGCTATTTTAATGCTCAGTCAAGCAGTCTAAATAATAAAAGAAATAATAATTTTTTTTATTAATTTTAAGAGTTACCTTTGTGTGGAGTAAAATATGTATGTAGTAGCCAAATGTGTACAAAACGACACCAACATTTAATTATTATTATAAAAAAATCTTTTTGTTTTGATTTTCTGGATGAAAAACTCATATCTAGGGCATTGGTGGGGTCTATTAATTGTGTTCTCGAATTTTGCCTTTTGAACGCACTAACTCGTGTATTAGATAAAGTGGTAAATAATATTTTTTCTTCTTTGATATCTAGTATAATACTCTATATATAAATTATAAAATGATACATGTCTAAAATACTAATTTTTCACTTTTTCCCAATCAATTTTTTTCAAAAAATTATCTTAGAATGAGCTTTGTGAGTTATTATCGATTATTAATAAATATATGCAAAATAATTGCAAAAATTATATATTTAATATACACAACACTTATATATTTTTTAAACTTTTCAGTGCTTAAATAACTAGTATTGTAGTATTTTTACTATGTATCTACATGTGGTCTAGAGGTTTTTTTTTCTATCAATTTGCCAACAATTTCTAACCCATGATATGAACAATAAATTTGTTCAATCGTCTTATGTTGTTTTAAAACAACGATTTAGAAAGACTTATATTAATGCCACAAGTTAAAATTTATTTCATTTACATGATTAATAATTAAATTTTAATTAATATAGTCTTATCAATAGACTGTAACATTTTTTTAGACAATATGTGTATAAAAGATACAAAAAAAATTATAAACAAAACCAAAGTCTGAGTTATATTGCCTTAAAATGTAATCAATATATTAAATACTATATTATGATATTCAAAATGAAATATATTTAGAGATGTTTAAATTTAGATTTAAAATAAATAAAAAATAAAAATACTTATACCCCTACCTATTTACCCAAAAAGATTCTAAACAAAAAATGTAGTCCCATTTTGCTTTCTTTGTTGTTTTGTTAGTATTTAATTTATTTTTATTTTTTTTTCGTTATATTATAATAAATATTTTACAAACAGATAATCATTACCAATTTCCACATGTTTTAGTTTGTAATATTGTCATTATATTATTATTATTATTATTATTATTATTATTGTCTTTTTTTTTATTTTAATAATTCCGTCACGCACACAAAATAATTTAGTTGAATTATGTGTTATTAAAAAATAATTTTAATCCGAACAGTATTTTATTTTTTTTTTCTCATGCGATTTAAATGCAGTAATGTTATTACTTATTACTGTACTATACTACTATTATTATTATTATTTTTATTATTATTATTATTATTATTATTATATTATTATATGTTGTAAACCCTGACTGCTTGGCACAGCCTGCGCTCATGGGTCGACCCCGTTACCTTAATTTGTTTTCTCCTTGTCTGCCTCCTTCCCGTTCACCGTTTATTTACCCCAAACACGGTTAACTTTAAAAATTATGAAGAAAAAAAAAGATTGTTAATAAAATTAAAAAAAAAATTGCAATGGATTATTAATTATTCTTATATACAATATTATTATGTTAAGGATAGAAAAAAATTATATTATCATTTAATATTTTTATGTTATACCTATAATTTATAAAATTTTAAAATTAAAAAAAAAAACTAAAACTATTTAAAAAATATATATACCAAAAAAAAAAAAAATAAATAAAATAAAATAATTTTATGTTGTGTTTTTTTTGTGATATGACTGTGACTGTTTAATTCCACCATCAAAAGTTTATTGACTAGTGATCGTCGGTTGTCAACTTGTTAAATATGATGACGACTGTTCTGAATTATTATTGGTAACCTTTATAATTTATTTTCCCTACCTATTCATGCCACTATAGGTAATACTTGGATCAAGATATGCTTACATGCTTGAATCTTTTCAAAAATGCATTCAAGCTTTATGAGTATGAATCAACAGTGCCCGTGTTTATTTATGACGTAAAATATTTTTCCTTCAAGAAACAGACTACTTTCTTAAATGGCCAAATAATAATAATTAAATATTTCATACAGCAATATTCAATACTACTTACTCTAATTACAATATTTAATCAGTTGCTTATTTTAGAATGAACCGAGTTTGGCATAAAATTAATTTTAAACAGTGTGTTTTCAATTAGTTGGTCGTATTCGCGTATCCTTAATTTATTACATTACAGTTAAAAAATATGCAAGACAATACTACAATAGTGGTCCGGTAATTTTATCTCGTTGGGTAAAACCGCTCGCATAAAGACATAAGTCGCTAGATAGCGCTATCTCATTTGTTTTTTTATTTTTAATTTAATTTTAAGATTTTCTTTTTGTTAATTTATTGTACGTAAGCAAGCTTATTTTTTAATAAACTTTATTAAACCACGATTGTGACCAGTCACCCCCCCCCCCCCGGGATCACAACACTATTCGAGCCATTTAAGTGCGTAGGACGTAGGAAGACTCAATCCCCTACCACTAATAGTGGTTAAAAAACGTCCCATTTAACAAATTATTCATAAGGTACGCCAAAACTCTCCGATTATAACCAAACATAAGTCATTCTGATTTAGAATTTCGTTGAGATGAAATCTTGGTGTTCATCAATTGATACTTTACTTTTATCAAATGTGTTTAATTACTGCAGATATGTATACATATTTGTGTATTTAATAGGTAGGTACAAATTATGGACTATCTAATATATGTGTAAAAATAATTGATTTATTAGTTACTGTAAATGGCTATACTGTAACTAATAGGTATTCGATTAATCGATAACATTATGATATTATGTAAAATTGAGCTTTAAAGGTGTTTTCATTTATACAGGCAAAGCAGGTTTTTTTTAGTTTGTACTTAGTAGTAAGATACATTTTGTGCAGTGCAAAAAAAGAATTTTAGAATGATATTTATTGTATATTATGAAACAGTAATAATTATAAAAATGTAACAAATTGAGAACTCCTGAAGAGCAAGAATGTTATTGGAAACAGAAAACTATTATTTATTTATTCACTATAATATGCCAGCATTAGTTAATTGAGATATAAGAAAAGTAGTTTTACAATTTATGAAAATGAAAGAAAAAAGGAACATTAATAGACTATAACAAGCAAATATTACTTAGTAAGTACCTTTAGGCTTTAGTACCTATTATTACTTATATTCACAAACAACATTTTAAAATTATTATTTACAATAAAAATAGTGCATTAATATAAAACGATTTATTTGGTATATCATAGTTAGAGTCCGAATTTATTTGCTTTTACTTATCGTTTTTGAGTATATGAAGTCTTATGAAAATAAAAAATGTAGATAGTACGGTATTCAGTAGACAGTAGTTTAGCCGGCACAGTCAACGAATAACAGTCCGTACTCCGTAGGTTTGATCTGCGTAGTCAAATTCCTTACTACAATGCAAGAGCCGGGAATAGGTACCTACGTTTGTGTAGTCAGTAAAAATCATTAAAAAAAAACCTTGAGGTAAACTGTGATTGTGTGATTTTTTAATCATGCTTACCTTACCAAGTGTATAGAATTTGAATTTTTTATTGTACAATTTAAAGCACTAAAATCATTAGGTAGGTACTTATATTTTCTAATGATATATCTAAATATATTTTGTCTGGCTGATTTCTTTAGCTTCCTTAAAAGACAACTACTATTTACAACTTAATATTATCAGAAAAATATTTTCTTTCAAAATATTAAATTTGTATACAATAGGCGTTACAGTATTACTTGTAATTTAGATTTTTCATGAAATAAATTACGAATTTGAACATTATTCAAGTTTAAAAGTGGTATGAGTATGTTACACAATCACTGTTTGTACATTACATATTATACTATATCTGTATAAATATGCTGTGACTGCCAAGACGTCTATTAACAGTACACACAAGCTCACGTAATAATAACTCACAAAAATAATAATATAACAATAAGACTTATCAATGTCCGATGATGATTGACAATATTGTCGTCAGTTAATCTACTGCTCACGGCTTTTACAGATAATCAGCTTGGTAGTCCAAATAGATGGGCAAGAACGGACGATGACCCGTGTGATTGTCGATTATAGAATATAAGTTATATGATTTATAAATATACATGTGGATCGTCGTCAGCGGCGATTCGACGGATGGCAGCGCGACATTTGACGTGTATATATATGTATCGTGGATGTAATAATAAAGCGTATAGGTAGGTACTATGGAGTATGGATTATATATAGAGCCGGATTAAGGGGGGGGGGGGCTAAGCGGGCTATAGTCCAAGGCCCCCCAAAAAGGGGTCCCAACAAATTTTTTGGGCTTGCAGCTTTTTT